CACTCTCAGTGTTTCACTGGCACTTCCAGAGTAGGCACAGCTCAAATCTAAATTGGGTGGGTTGGGACACTGTTTGGTCTTGAGCACACCACATAGTGAAGGGGGTGTGTGATACATTTTGTTGGGAAGGGTAAGTTATTACTTTTTAAAATCCTCTGACCCTGCCTTGCCCCACTTAGTCAATAGCTCAGGTCTCTTCTAGATTGCTCATGTGTGATCAATGCCATTCTGTTTTCAGGCCAAAGAACCCAAACTTAATGTAAAAATAGATGTCATCAATGCTACGTTCCAACCAGAGAAGATTGGGAACCCCAATGGCCTGCAGATCACCTATCTCAAAGACAACAAGACCCGTAATATATTTGTCTACCATGAAAGTGGAAAGGTATCTGGTTTTAGCATCAAACATTGCAAAGCCAATGAGGTGCTTTGAGAAGCTGCTGATATTAAATAGTGTGAAACATGGGTAGGATGGGGTGTGTGAGTTGCTGTAGGTAACAGGGCGAGGGTTCTGGCTCTGCGTTTGTGTATCTGTGGGAGAGTTTTGCTGCAGGGAGCAGGGCAAGAGCACTGGCTGAGTTGGTTTGTGTGGGAGGAGCTGCTGTAGACCATGTGGAGATGTGCTGCCTGTGCATGTGGGGAACAGGTCAGCCATGCTACATGCCTGTCAGTCTCACTTCAGTGCCTGGGAAAGTTGTGGAAGTATTGAGAAACACCTGAAAGACAATACAGTCACTGGTCACAGCCAGCATAGTTTCATGAGAGGAAAGTCCTACTTATCAAACCTGATTTCCTTCTGTAACAAGATAACCCGCCTAGTTGATCAAGGAAAGCCATTTGATATAATTTTTTTAATTATATCAGTAAAACTTTTGATACTGTCTCTCACTGTATCCTTCTGGACAAAGTGTCCAGCACACAGCTGGATAAACACATCATGTGGCGGGTGAGCAATTGGCTCATGGGTCAAGCATAGAGGGTGATAATGAATGGGGTGACATCAGACTGGTGACCTGTCACAAATGGAGTTCCACAGGGCTCCATCTTAGGCCTTGTGCTCTTCAACATCTTCATAAATGACTTGGATGTAGGATTGGAAGAGATACTAAGCAAGTTTGCCGCTGACACAAAACTGGGAGGAGCTGTTGAACCCCTCGAAGGCAGGGAGGCCCTGCAGAGAGACCTTGACAAATGAGAGGGCTGGGCAATCCCCAACCATATGAAATTCAACAAGGAGAAGCGCTGAATTCTGCACCTGGAATGGGGCAACTCTGGGTGTTCATACAGACTGGGGAATGAGATGCTTGAAAGCAGTGCCATGGAAAGGGACCTGGGGGTCCTGGTCGACAGCAAGTTGAACATGAGTCAGCAGTGCTCTGGCAGCCAGGACGACCAACCGTGTCCTGGGGGGCATCAGGCAAAGCATTGCCAGCTGGTTGAGGAAGAGGATTGTCCTGCTCTGCTCTGCACTGGAGCAGCCTCACCTTGAATATTGTGTGCAGTTTTGGGCACCATAATATAAGAAAGATATTAATCTGTTAGAGAGTGTCCAAAGGAGGGCAACGAAGATGGTGAAGGGCCTTGAGGGGAAGCCATATGAGGAGTGGCTGAGGGCACTTGGTCTATTCAGCCCAGAGAAGAGGAGACTGAGGGGAGACCTCATTGCAGTCTACAACTTCCTCATGAGGGGGAGAAGGGGGGTAGACACTGATCTCTTCTCTGTGGTGACCAGTGACAGAACGTGAGGGAATGGCCTGAAGTTGTGCCAGGGGAGGCTTAGGTTGGATATTAAAAAGAGGTTCTTCACCCAGAGGGTGTTTGGGTGCTGGAACAGGCTCCCCAGGGAAGTGGTCACAGCACCAAGGCTGAGAGAGTTCAAGAAGTGTTTGGATGATACTCTCAGGCACATGGTGCGACTCTTGGGGATGGTCCTGTGCAGGGCTAAGAGTTTGATGCGATGATCCTTGTGATCCTCCCAACTCAGCATGTTCTGTGACTCTGTGATTCTGTGCTGGCTGTCTGCAAATGAGGGAGATGCTGAGAGTGCTGGGGAAGGAGAGCTGACTGCATTTGTAGTTAACATAGGGCTAGGTGAATTTAGGTGGCTCACTGTTGCTCTGGCTAAGCTTTCTATCCTGTCCTTTTCCATTTTCAGGAGGTAGTGGACTGGTTCAATGCCATTCGCTCTGTGCAGTTCCATTATCTGAAGGTAGCATTTCCCATTGCCAGCGATAATGAGGTAAGACAGCACTAGAGCACAGTGCTGAGTCTCCCACTGCTTATGTGATTAAGGAGCTCATTAGTTACTTATATAACCCCAGGTACAGAAGTGGAAATTGCAGTGTCTAGATAGAGGGATGAGAATGAACATTTAAAAGGGCCTGTGGCGGTCAGAAAACCACTGCTTTCTGGTGTTTCTGGGCATTTTGGAAGCAGAAGTGACTCCTGGCTAGGCAGTTTAGGAAATATGAATTTAGAAGGTGACTGAATTTGAGGGAAGGTGACTGAATTGGAAGGGCAGAGGGGAAACGAATATCAAAGAAGCACAGCTAGGTGAATGTTACTCTTGCCTTTTTGTCAGATTAAAAATCGTCTGACGAGAAATTTCTTGAAGGAGGGATACATGGAGAAGACTGGTCCCAAGGTGAGCTGCTATGTTAGAAAAAATCTTAACAGGGACCTGCCAGAGAGCCACTGGCTTTCCCAACCTCAATGTTTTCTCCTGCTGTTTCCTCATTCCCCCCTGACTGTTTAGACACCCGTGGGAACAGTGTGTGTGCACCAAGGGAGGGGAGAATTAAAGGAAGGGGAAGGACACATGTGAAAGTAGATGAAGCCAGAGTCCCTGCTTTCTCCCAGAGCGACAGATCTCTCTGCATGTGTCTGTGTGTGCGTGACCTTCCAGGTATTTAGCGTCTAGATTTCTCCTGTCTCAACTTTGGAGTCCTTCACCACAGTCCAAGAGTTGGGGACAGCAGCTGGGCCTGAAAAACCCAATACTGACCCCCACTCTCAGCTGAGAAAGGGCGAGGAGGAGGTTGCAGTTAAGGCAGGGGCTTGCTTCAAGTGGTTGGGATGAATTTTGGGTATCCATTCGTACTGTTCACAGCAGAGGGCACTGTCCCCTTACATATGTCACCTCTTCCCTTCACAGCAGAGAGAGGCCTTTAAGAAGCGCTGGTTCACACTGGATCACCGCAGACTCATGTACTTCAAGGATCCTTTGGTGAGGAGGAGATCTGACTGCTGGACAGCTGCAGGCAACGGTGCTGAGGGCAGGGTCAAAGTGCAACCAGTTGCTCTTCAGTTAGGGTGGCTTGCAGGTTCCCCAGCTGCTCTGGATGGGCTCTAAGTCTTTCCATCCCACTCAGGTCACATGCTTTCTGTGTTTGTTTCGCTGCCTGCAAACAATGGTAACAGGGAGGGCAGCAGTGTAAAGGTGGTGATGGAGGGGTGACATGGAGGGACAGGAGCACCAGTTTCTCTCTCAGACCTCTCAAGACCTATGCCCTTAGATATTCCTTTTCACTGCAGTCTTTGAGCATAGACTCCCTGCTCTTCTGAATTCCCCAACCACCTCCAAAACTTTTTGCTGCTACATCCCTGGTCCTCACACACTCTCTCCTGTTCTTAGGTGCATTGTAATTATTCCTTGATTCTTCTGGATTTCCATAAATCACTGTCTTTCCCTCTTGATGTGCAGGATGCATTTGCTAAGGGTGAGGTATTTGTGGGCAGCAGAGAGAATGGATATAGTGTCCAGAAGGGATTGCCTTCAGGGACACAGGGCAACTTCTCTTGGCACTATGGCATCACCATTGTCACCCCTGACCGGGAATACCTCTTCACCTGCGAGACAGAGAGTGACCAGCTGGAGTGGATCAAAGCCTTCACCAGCGTCATCAACCAGGCCATGACACCACAAGAATATGCAAGTAAGTGCCTGGGTGCTGTTTCCTTCCCCTCCCGCCACTCCAGTTCAGGGTATTGCCCTAGTTCACCACCTTTTTTTCCTTTACTACAGTTGAAGCCTACTTCAAGTTTAAATCCTAGGAAACCATTCAGGAACTATGACTCCACTCTACCTGGTCCTGTGGCTGTCAGGAGAGGAGAGCAGATTGACATCAGAGAAACACTGTGCTCTTGAAGCACCCTTGAAGCACTTTTGCCCCCACAGAATGTCCACTTGTTTTGAGGGCCCAATTAAGCTGCTTCCTTTCAAGTGCAAGACTTTGAGTTTGAATCTTCAGTACAACCTGTCCCTGTTAAATTGCTGTGATCTGACTGGATGCTGGCAGGTCTTGCCTATCAATCAGACCTTGAAAAGTTTGGCACTTACTATGTTGGACATGGGACCTATCATTACTCCTGCGTGAAACTGCAGACAGCCACCTACCTTCCTCAAGAAAACAGCTGCCTGGCTGGAGCCAGGCACCCCAGCAGATTGCAGGAGCTGCTGGACTAAGAGAACCTGTTCCTTTAAAAGAAATGTAATCTCTGCTGGTGACAGAGATGTGAAACATCTAGATATTTGATCAGTTAGAGCTGCAGTTGACAAAGGTCACTTAAAAAATGTAACCTACCAGCCAAATGCGAGGCCTGTTTCCTTCTGCTCTGTATGGGCTTGAAAGTTTCTTCAGACTGCATTTGTGTGCAGACCGTCCTCTGATTGCTACAGAGGAGATTAAGAGATCATCTAAAAAATAATGTGTGAATATACATTTGAGCGTGTGGATAATGTGTGTGTGTGTGTGCACACATAACAAAAAGTGATGGGAGGCAGAATACTGCCCTAGGGAAGATACTGTGAGGGATATTCATGCCACTGAAGTTCAGAATTCAAGCTTAAGTCTCTAGTCAAACCAATGGAGAGAAGTTGGGTCCTGCGGAAAGCAACTTATAGCATTTATAGAGTTCAGAGTCTGAATCTACTAGAGCCTAGGGGTTGGTGTCTGAACATTAGGACCTACACATTACATACATTTATCTTGTTTATCATACATACGTATTATTTTATGCAGTAGTATAACAGGGAAATTGTATTTTCACATTCTTCTAATAACAGCCCAAAACACTACATCAACCCATGGGTCTTGTCTTAAAGCTCATCTCTTAAAGCTTCCCCTAGGAGAGCTGTGTTTCACATAATGGAAGGATCAGCTGAGTTCTGCTGGTGACTGTAGTGTCTGATGTGTTTAGTTTTTCACAGATAGTGTGAGGGAAAGTATCTTGTGTATTAAGGGGAGCTAACTAGAATTAATGAGACTACCAGCATTTTAATTAGCTCCTAAAGAAATAAATGAAAAACTTTCCCATTTTAATTTAGTTTAACTTCCAAAACTATCTGATCTGCTAACTGCTAAGGTATGAGGTCATTTCTTGGAAAAAAAAGCACAATCAATCAGAGCAAAGAGCCATAGCTATTCATTGTATTTCCTGGGGCATGTGGACTGTGATTATTCCCATCAGAGCGAAATGGCCAAAGTCATGGTCCCTGCTGATTCCCTGGGGACCCCTCTGTGTGCTGAGACTACCACAATCTACTGGGAGTATCAACTTCCTGGATGAGGAGCAGCATCACTCATGCTGCTGCCATGGCGCAATGGAAATATCCATCTAACTGTGTATGTTCACTGCAGTTTGCTGATCTCTCCCAGTTTGGAACATGACTTTCCTAAAAAACAAAGGCCATTGCACAGTGAGAGGAGTACCGATGGGATGCTTCTTTCTCCTGTTTGCTGCTGAGTTATTGCTGATGGAGATGAGCAGAGTCATTTGACTCATCCACAACAAAGCTAATACACTAATGATGCGAAAGAGTGTGGCTGGAGTGGCCTGAAAACCCCTGTGAACTAACAGCAGAGCATATTTAGTATGATGCATCTGTCTCTGCTTTACAAATTCTGTCCCACCGTGTCTTCCTTGAGATGAGGAGGCTCAGATGTGGGCAAGGAAAGAGCAGGGTAACATTGGCATTGGTGTCACGGGATGATGTCCTGCTAGAAGGTGATTGTGCCTACCTAATGGGCTTCTGCCCCCTGCTGTGAGGGGATTGGAGGGAAGGAGAGGAAAGCTTAGAGAAGGAGGAGGAGAGGAGGAGGAAGTCTTTGTGGAGAGGGAAGAAAGACTAGGTTTAAAATATCAAGCCCTTTGAGTCTTTAAGAGCTTCCTGCTGGCTGGAGAGCAAGGGTGGAACAGGGCCCAGGACAGAAAATGTGAGATGTCCTACCATCTGATGGGCCTGCTTGCAAACTGGGGACTACGTCGATTGTCCTCAGCTCAGAGGGCCCTGATGTCCCTGAGAGGGAATGGGGGACAGACTCTCTCAGCCTGGCTTGGCTAAGGGCCAAGGAGAGCAGTGTGGCTGCTCCCTACCTATTGTACTTCCAACTTCCTTGTTTCCCTTCTAAAGCTACAACATCATGTGCTTTCTCCCTTTCCTTACCATATTACGGAGTCTTGTCTTTCAGTTGTCTCCTCTCTCAAATGAGGACAAGTGTGCAAGGGGAAATGGGACAAAGAAAGGGAAATAAGAACAAGAAGCAAGAGGGAGCAGGAGAAAAGTGTAGCAAGATATAGGGGAAGAAATCATGTCTGCCAGAAAGAGGAGGGAGCCAGCAGGGCTCCTCAGCTAGTGGCTAAAAGCGCAGTATAAACTGGGACTGCATTCGCACTGGTGTGTGAAGCTGTGAGTCAGACACATTCCTGCATGCAGTGGTCAAGGCAGCTCTCGGGGGTTGGTTCAGGGGGCAGAGCTCACCTCTCCAGAGTCTGTCTAAGCTGAGACACACAGACTTGGGAGCAGAAATCCGCTTATTCACCAAGTCTGCTGGTTTCCCCGGGCCCAGCAACAAATGAGGAGCTGGTAAAGAGAAGAGACGTTTCCTTCTGGCTGGCAGAAGTTATCTTGCACCTATTGGTCTTGAAGGGGAGGGCAGTGTCCCCTTCTTGGCCCTTTGATGGTTAAGGGAAACAACCTGACAGAGCTTGTGATGGACAAGATCAGCAAAACAGACTGCGCGGCTGGAGGTGAGGAATAGACTTCTCTGACCTGTCTATGTCTGATGAACTCTCGCCATTCATCCCTTGACTGTTTTGTTGTTAAGGCTAGACATGTCCCATACAGTGAGTGGAGAAGGAACAGGTCTCTGAGAGCTTGATTTGTTCTTGGTCACCCTACTCAAAGATGTCTTACAACCCTTCCTTCATCAGCGCAAGGCCTGGAGAGGATCCCAAGAGTGGTAGTTTCTTGGAGGAAAGCAGCAGTGGGGATGATGACAGTAGCGTACTGGGAGGGGACAGCCTGGTCACGGGGCCACTGGGTGCAGTGCTGCTGGTCATGTGCCTCACTGGGATGGTGGGGAACATCTACACGGTGGCAGTGGCCTCTGGCAGGGTGGTGGGCTACTCAGCAGGCTCCCTGGGGGTCTATGTGATCAACCTTGCCCTGGCTGACCTCCTGTACCTGTCCACCATCCCCTTCGTGGTTTGCACCTATTTTGCCCATGACTGGTTCTTTGGGGATGTGGGCTGCAGGCTTTTGCTCAGCCTGGACCTCCTCACCATGCATGCCAGCATCTTCCTTCTGACCGCTATGAGCCTGGAGAGGTACTGGGCGGTGGCAAGGCCACTGCAGGCCAGGCGGGTCAGCAATGCTTACCGCAAACTGGCCAGTGCCATCCTCTGGCTCCTCTCGCTCCTGCTTACGGCCCCCATGATGGTGATGACCCAGCTGCGGGAGGGGGACAGGCCCCACAAGCGCATCTGCATCCCCACCTGGACGCCAGCAGCTTTCCGGCTCTACCTGACAGTACTGTTTACCACCAGCATCCTGGCACCCGGTGTGGTGCTGGGCATCATCTACACCCGCCTGGGCTGGGCATACCGGGCCTCAGCCTGGGGCCTGGGGCTGCCAGTCACTGGCCGGGCCCCCTCCTGGCGGCTCTTCTCCAGGATCTCTGCCATTGTGGTGGTCTACTGGGCCTGCTTCCTCCCCTTCTGGGCCTGGCAGCTGGCGGGGCTGTACCAGAAGGATGGGCTGGGCATTGGCCCCACTGCCCAGGCCTACCTCAACTTCGGTGTCACCTGCCTGGCATATGGCAACAGCTGTGTCAACCCCTTCCTCTACACCCTGCTCACCAGCAGCTACTGCCGGCGCCCTGGCCACAGTGGGATGGGCATGGCACAGCCTGCGGCAACCTCCCGGCAGGCTGCAGGAAGCCACAGCCTCCCCCTGGCTTTCAAGGAGTTGTCAGGGTCTCTGAGGGAAAGCGAGGGGTGAGCAGTGACCCAGGTTGGGCACATCTCCTGGCCTTTGTCTGGGGTCAGGTCAAGAAATAAAAGTGCATCAACTTCCATGCCAGCATGCAGTGTCTTCTGTCGTTGTTGCAGTGCCTTCCCCTTTGCATGGATGCTCATCCTGTTCATCTGTGGGGAGGGGGAGAATGCTTGTCTTGGGGTTCCTGACTCTATCCTCAAGTCCTTCATGCCAGCCTGCACCTTGCGCAAGGCTGGGGAGTGGGTGGAAGGGAGCAGTCAGCTTTGATACATCTAAATTATACAGCTGGGGAACCCTCGCCACCCCTCACCTCCTCGCTAGCAATTGGCCAAGCAGTAACAAAGTCAGGACAACAGTGAGTCATAGATTTCACAGGAGCAGTGAGTCACTTCAAGAAGCAGCCACGCTGGCAGGAGACCTGACTAAGGTTCATACTCCTGTGGTAAAGCTACCACTCAGCTTTCTTCACCCACCCTTCACGAAAAAAATCTTTGAAGAGTTTTTCTAAAGAAAGACTGCCAAGTGCAGTTAAGAGGCATTGTGAGATCTCCATGAAGTACAGCTCAGGGAGGTCAGCACATTTGCTTAGCTTTCAAGATCAGCCTAGCAGAGAAAGCTGCAAGGAGAGAGCTCCACTCTGTATCCGTTGTCACAGCTCATGGTGACCTCACCAGCACCATAGCCCTGCTGTGGTCTACTAAATGTACCCCAGTCTGCTAGATTGTGTCAAGACCACTGTGTAAACTCGGCCAGGTCTCTTGCCTTGAGGTCATCTAGCCTAGCATGGCTCACTTCCATACAGCTGAACTCTCTTCTCTTCTCCACAAAAGATGGCCCCATCCGTATCACCCCATGGGAAGAGCACCCAAGCTATGCTGTCCCCCAGCTATGCCTATGCACAGGGTGGCAAATGTCAGATGTCACATGTACTGTTATAGTTGAAGCCCTAAAGAGCGTGATGTGATCATCCAGAGCAGACTGGCTTTGGGCAACACAGGGCTTCAAGTGAGATTCAGCTGCAGAGCCTCAAGTTGCTTGTACACCCCAAGTGTTACTGCCTCTCAGCTCAGCTCTCATCTTCAGCTCTCATCTCTCTCTTCCTCCTCAGCCCCACAATTCCTAACAACCCAGCCTCCCTCTGCTTGGGTACCTAGGACACAGCACCTGGCAGAGCCTTGCAAATTATGAAGTAAGAACAGGAGGTAACGCTGCTGCTGTTCTCCAGCTGCTCTGCAACTCTTTAATGGGATTTGCAGAGCCAGGCCTGCAGGGAATCCTGTAGGACATCAAATTGTTAGTGCTTTGTGTTGCTCACAGCCAAGCCTGAAAGTGAGGACACAAAAATTGGGCCTTTTTATCCCAGACTTACCTGGTAACAGCTGTGCACTGTGGAAACAGCAGATCCCACCTTTCCTATGCCCAGCAGGCACAGCATGCCCAACAGCAGTAATCATTGCTGCCAAGGTAGCATCAGACTGGGAGAGCCCCCAAGGCAGCTATGCAGTAACATCAAACATGCCTCATCATCTCAGACTCCTCAGAGTCTAGCCTCAGTTTAGACTGAGAAGTGCTCAGGCTCATTTGGGCTAATGTGAGGGAAGGGGTAACAAAAGCATAGGGCACACATCCTTAGCATCCCACACCCCAGCTGGGCATTGTTACCTCTCCCAGCTCTGGATGGACCAGGCAAAGCACACAAGGCAGAATAAAACCAGACTTCTCCAGGGTACTGCCCTCAAGTGCCACAACACAACACTATTTGTGCTTCTGCAGCTATTGGAAGAAAGGATTTGGATGAGAAGCCCTCTACATACCCTGCCACACCCAGCAAGGCAGCCTTTTCTACTGCTGTCTCCACGCAGTAGCAAGAGATCCCAAGATGACATAGGAGAGCTCTGTCATCAGTAGGACCAGCCTCTTCAGAGGGGTACAGCCAAAGCTAGTGCAACTGAGGACTTTCCTCTCACTCCATGCCCCGCCAGGTTTACCTAGCACAGCAACTGACTGCTGTCTGAAGTCAGCCAGGGATGCTTAATTTAGGGAGAGATAGATTTAATCAACCAGTTTTATTCAGACAGGGTAAGGTGTCAGTCCAGACCTCAAAAGTGGGTGACTTTGTTAAAGAGACCCTTTCACTCTCCCTCCCAGTCACAACTAGCCCCAGTGTTTCATCCTGAGGATCTCCTTGGAGTTTTTAACTTCCATCTTCCATCTTTAATCCTCACCCTCTTCTCCATCCATGGCCAAGGATGGCACAATTCCATCCACTTATAGTACCTAAAATTGGCTACATTCATCCACCCACTCCTCCAGCAAGATGCCCAACCCATGATGACTTGCAGGAACAAATTAGATTTTGAGACTGGCTAGACCAAAACTCCTGTTTATTAATCATTTTTTTCTGCATCTTTGACATGGAGGCATCAGAGGAAGTTATTCCCAGCTGAGGGATTGGAGCGTGAAGTCCCCTTGTGTATCAAAGTAGTCAAAGACAGCGAGACCAAGCCGGTTAGGGAACGTGAACTGGTGGCCTGGCAGGTGGACTGTCACATCATTTTGGTTGACACCAAAAGTGATCTACAAGACAAACAGAAAAGTCAAAAGTTTCTGCCAAGACACCCTCAAGCCTTTTCCCTGTACCACCTTCCACTCTGCAGGGTGAACATGCTCAGCAGCATAACCTGTTCTTCAACAGTAGGACTGTTGTTCTGGTCTCCCAAGAGATGCCTATTCCCTGCTCCGTTCAATAGTAATATCCCTTTTAGCCAGGTGGAGCTTGCACATTTGATCCCCACCCTCCATCACGCTCAGAGCCCTAAGTGGTGGCACTGGCCAAGCAGGAGAAGCCAGCCACCTCCTGTACAGACAGCCCTGAGACAGCCCCTGCAGTTGAGTGTCCTGTGTCAAACACCCTCCTTTCACCAGAGCATGTACAGAGAGTATATATGTGCATATATATATATATGCATGCCTCACCTCTGCTGTGCCCCCTTTCTGGAAAGGGAAGACAGTCTCCCTGTGCTCTGCACCCCACTCTTCCACCTTCTTGGAGTTGCACACAATGGTGTTCACATCACCATGAGCATCAAAACGGGGGTTGAAGTGAAGTCCAAGGTGAGTAGCATCCTTCCCCAGATTCATCACAAAGCTGCAGAGAAAAAAACCCAGACATCGACACTGCTTAAAAAAAAAAGGTAACGAGAAACATACTACCATAGTATTGAACGTTCAGCACACAGAGCTCTCAGTGGAGAGTTATCCTGCACCCAAAGCAGTTCTCAAGGTGTCAATTGCTTTCCACAGATTTCCTTTCAGCCCCAAACAGTTAGCTGGTGCCTGACAGCCACTGCCTTCTCCCCATCCTGCAGGCAGCTGAAATAATTACTATGTGGTCAGCTATCCCAAAGTATCCACAGCAGCAGTGAGAAGAAACTTCCTAGCCTAGCATCCACCTTGCCTCTAGGCCTCTTACCCAGATGAGAGGAGGCATATTATTTGGCAAGAGAAAGCCTAGGAGGCTTCCCTCTGACAGTATCAAACTTCAAAGGCACTGGGAAATGCTGGGACCTGTTTTCTGGAACACTGCTAGTGCTGGTACAGTGGCTACTTCCTGCCAAGGGACTCCATCAGCCACAGACCTGCACAAGGGCTTGAGACTGCTGCAGAGGCTTTGGTGAGGGCCCCAGGCACCCCAATTCCTGCACATTAAGGAGTATATTTCCACTTAAGCCAACCTGTCTGCTCGCCATCTTTCCTCCTTCCTTCCCCACCAGCACATGAGGTGCAGCTCCACCATTATGGTGCCCCTGCTCCTGGGCCATCTTCATGCAGGGCAAAGGATGTGGCTGAGTGGATGATCTCAGCCTAAATCTCAGTATAGACACAGCTTCTGTTTCCTTTACCCTGCACTAGAGAGGATGTGGTCACTGCCAGTGCGTGCAGCTGGAGCTTCACATCTGCTTTGGCTTAGCCCTTTGGCAGTACTGTGCCTGCAATGTGCATTAGGTGATGACTCACTGGGAAGCACTGATGGTGTTAACCCCTTCTCCTTTCCTACCCAAGGGACAGACTCCTTTTGTCCCCCACCAGCAGAAGACAACTCAGTGTGGTGCCCTGGCCATCCCTGGGCAGCACAGCACAGCTTACCTCTTGGCATTTGGTGCGATTTTCCCTTTGACAGTGAGGCGCTGGCCAGGCTTGAGGCCCAAGTTGGTGCACACTGGTCCCTGGGGAACATTGAGGCAGAGACATTAGCTCAGTACCTGCTGGCTCACTTGTTCTGACTTGGCAGCTCTCCCTGCTGCCTTGCAAGAGGATGCATTGCTTTGGACCCATGGAGAGACAGGGAAACTCCCTTCCCCCTGGGGCACTGCACCAGGGACATCCCAGAGAAGTTACCCCAATCACATGGGACATGTGCTCAATTTCCCAACCTTTCTCCTGCTGCTCTCATCAGCATATCTGTATTTCACAGACATGAAGTGTAAGTACCTGCACTCTCCCATCACACCCACCCCATTCCAAACACACCCGTGTGCCTTGTGGGTCTCGCATCATCCTGTACAAGTCTGGCTGGCATGGATGGAGCCTCCAGTCCCTTCCCCTAGCATGTTTTTGAACTTCAAGCCTTGCCCAGGTCAAAGGGCTTGGATACCTTGTTTCCCAGCTCCCAAGGGCTTGGAGATTTGGGGGTTTTTTGTAGCTCAGCATTTGCAAGAATATTCTCTTGCTCCACATACACACCTTTCCCCATCTTCTTTCTAGGACTAAAATTCCCTGGCAAACCTAAATGTACTCACTATTGCAGCAAAGGCAAGACCACAAGAAAACTGAAAATCTTTTCCCATTCCACTTTAATAAATAAGTTTGCATTTGGGACAATACCTGCTTAATCACCTTCAGCCTCATGAAAGATAAATTAATCAAAGAAATGTAATCACTCTTCTTCTCCAGCAGTCACAGAATGTTTGGGGTTGGAAGGGACCTTGGAGATCAAGTCCAACCC